CTTTAGTGCTGCCTTGTCTTGTGTGCTAAATGGGCATGCCCCAAAATGAATCAAGGTAAGGCAGATCCAACCATGTGAAAGGGTTAAACTCAGTGGGCTGAGAAACAAAGAAGTTTAGGATTAATAGTTTTTTCAAGGAAGTCAAGGACTGGGATGGTTAGAGCTCAGCTGAGCTAGAACCCAAGGTTTGAAGGTACTGATACAATACATGAACCTTGCTGCTGAAATCCCTCCTCCTGTCTCAAAGACAGGGACTGTGCAAAATGACGGGACAAGATGATGGATGCACACATGCTTCCTGACTGTGACGTGGATTCAGTAAGGTGAGCATGAGTGAATTATGGATGCCCTTTTGATTGGTTTTCAACGATCTTTTAATGGCACTGAGACGGTGTGAAGTTACAGTGTATTGATTTTCTTTACCCATGCAGTAATTTGTAGTGGTGGAGATTTATTTTCCACTTCATGTTTTCCGTGAAGCTGGTACGTGTCAGTGCTGGACTCCATACTTGCACTGTCTCATTTGGCATTTGGCAGCAGCAGCTTCCAAACCATGCTCAGTCACACTGGTAGGTTTTGTGGGCATCCAAGTAGTGAGTTTTAACTACGTGATTGAAAGTGATCTTGAGGTAGTTTTGTCTGTGGACGGAGTCCTCCTTCGGAGCTTCAGAGAAAAAAGCATGAGGGTGCTTAATGGAGCTTATACCAAAGGTTGAGTGGAGGTTGGTGTCAGATCCCCCAGCTAAAAACAAGATTAGATCTTTTCACCCTAAAGGAGAAGCCTTAAAGTACTGCAAAAATTTTGCTTGATGAAATAGAGGAGCCAGAAGAAGGATAGAAAGAGAAGGGCAACAAAATTCAGCATCAGTGCTTACACTGAAACTGAGATCCCACTTACTTCTATGGTTATATAGCTTCACCCTGCATGCACTGAGTCTTGCTATATATAAGACTCCTGGGTCAAGAGGTCCTCAAGCTTCAAATCTTTCATCCCAGGAAATGTTCCCTGTAGTTCTGCTCTTCAGCACCTTTTTCAAAGCACGCCCTACTAAAGTAGGACAAGACATTTTAATGAGTTTCACTCATACTGTAGACAGTGTTGCTTTCTGTTCCCGGTTCCTAGAGAGCTCCTGACTAGTTTTTCAAGTACCAAATCTCTCTTCCTCTGTCACTGAAGCTCATGAGCAGCTAATCTCACGACCATTTTGGTTCTGAAGTCTTTTGCACAGTAACTGACTTTCTGTTTGCCCTTTTCCTTCTTGTAAACGTGATCTAGATGTTCCAGCTGAATGTTCATGTGGCTCTACTAGAACACACTCTGTGCATTCGTGTGAGGTTTACCAACCACTCCTGTGCTTTGTCATTCACAAGAATCCAGATGATCTATGAAAAAGCCAAGATAAAGGTATATTATATTGACCAACAGATATATTCCCTTGCTGGTTTTCTCTGATTTTAGATATAAACTCTTTGAGTGAAGCAGTTTCCTGTTTGACGAGGGCCAGCACAACCTACTGGGAGATGCTTACCAGCAGTCCCTCTGCACACTCCCAGCAGAGCCTGTTACAGCCTCCTGGCTGCAAGCTCCAGCTCGGCAGAAGCACTTGCTTTTGATTACAGAGATCTCCAGTGTCAGCCAAGGAGGTGGATATCAAACCTGTGCACGCTGGGTGCTGCCAGCAGCACATCATAAATAATAGTAATGGAGTGTAATTGCTCATTAAGCCAAATCATAGCCTGGAGCCCTCCATCTGGCCAAACTCCCTTCGACATCAGGGGGAGCTTTGCCAGCAGGTGTGCAATAGGATTGGGGTCCCAAACAGTGGTACTGCCAACCACGTACAGTAGCACTACTATTGGGTTTTGATTCAGATCCCCTTGAAACTGCTGTGTGGCTTTTGGATTGATCTAGAAGAATTTAGCTACCTCCCCTTGCGTTACACTGCTTCTCAGCCAGCACAGCTACATCTGTGCAACAGTTATCCCAGATGGAGTATGGAGGAGGAGAATTCCTGACACTGAGCTACGGGATTTTAATTTTAGAGAGGAGATGGAAACTCTTTCCTGTTGGGTCTCAAATGGTGTTTTGTACGGTTGTAATTTGAGGCTTGAAAATGTCCCAGAAGCCTGCAACTGAAAACCCCCAACATGTAATTGATATTGAAAAGTGTTGTGTCCCTGGTGCAAGGGCTATAAAAGGCACTCCTGGTGTGCCTGCCTATCAATCACCTATTGCTATTTGACATTGGTACAACCCTTTGCAAGTGAAAATAATTTACTGCCTTTCCCCATGAAAATTATTTACCATTCCCATTTTGGTTTGAACATTTACTGTTGTGGTTCAAAGTTGTGATGAATTGGTTAGCTATAAATTTTCTTTCCTCTCCCATTCTCCTCCCACCTCTTCCTAATGCAACACTGGGATGAAGGTTAAGGCATAGGGTGTTATCTGAAGGAAATGCTCCACTCTCAGTGCCCCATCCATCCTCGCTAATGCTTATAGCTCCCCTGTGGTATTGGGAAGTGTAATCGCTATTGTACTGAGGTAGAACAGGAGCTGGAGAGAGATAAATGGCCTAGTTATCAAAACTTCCTAGCCTCCCACAGCCCTCCTTGGGAATACAGCTATAAATGACATTCAAATGATGCTGATAGATGTGAGCTGAGCAGGCAGCAGAACGTGTGCGGTCCCGGTGCTGCGCCCAGGCCAGCCCCTCCTTGCTGAAAATGTCATGGAGATCTCAGCTATCCTGACACTGGCTGCAGACATTGGGGGATGTGTGTGAGATACGTTGCTGTCTGCTCTCAGCTGCTTGTAGACAAATCCCACGGGGTTGCAAAGGCTCAAAATCAAATGGTGACTGAGACATGTTAAAGCTGGAGCTTGCAGAGCTGAAGGCAGAGGTGGTTTTTCTTCTTTGGCACAGATTCTGCTCAAGAGAATTACCTCAGAGGTGAAATATGGTAGGGAAAACAGCCCTTCTTCCACCCGGCACTGCAATGGCAGAAGTGTCACTTTTGAGTGACTCGGATCCAAAATAGTATGGCCTGTGGTGGGTCCAGGTATCACCTCCAGGAGCTCCCTTTCCATCTGTTGTCCTTCCTGGTGTGTGAAACAGGAGGACTGCACATCCCTCAGAAATGGAACAGGAGCAGCTAGAGTAGGTGGCAAATCTGCTTCTCTTATGAGTCTAGAAGGGCTCTTGGGTGTCTTGGCATCTCTTCAGGAGATACCAGGAAAATTCCCCCATCTGGAGGAGGAGAACCTCCCATGAAAACAACCAGCAATCTGTAAGGCTTTGAATCTTATTTTATTATTTTAATTGAATAATTTATTTAATGTTATTGCATTTTATTTTTAGACCCTTTGTTCCTCCTAAGGGGCAGATATGCGAACGCACTGCCCTGCAGACAGGTTTTTACTCAAGAGCACGTCTCGGAGGGGTTGTTTCTAGTGCGTTGTGCCAGAAATCCCAGGGCACCAAGAGTGTAGGGCAAAAATAAGCCCATCTTTCTTGCAGCCCAGAAGCTGAAAGGAAAAGGGTACAGGCTGTCAATCACATCCCGTCAGGTTTTAGGTCCGAAGTCTGGACCGGGGGGGTACACATAGCAAAGCGGAGCGAGGGGAGTTCTTGGGTCCAACGGGTCGGGGCAGACCCCTGGGGTCCGCAGCCGGGCTCGGGACCGGCGCTGCTCCCTCCAGGAGCCACCTGGGAGGGGACAGAG